ATGTATTGGTTTAGCAGTGATTCATTCATAAAGAATAACATATTACTTTAGGTGTTTGAGCACATCATTTTAAACTACACGGTCTACTTCGACGTTGACACCATCTCCACGACCATCTTTCTCATCTTTGCATATGCAGTAGAATTTTCAGTGGGAGTTGCATGACTTTCCCATGCACCAACTCAAACGCTATGCAAAGTTTACGATAAGGTTCTCCATCGTCAGTCTATTCAAGACCTTTAACATAAGCCAACACATATTTGCTTGAGAGTGGCGGGTCATCGCCGGGAGTTTATTTTCCTCTTACCAATCTGAAGTTCAGAAATATGTTCACATTTCGGTGACCAAAACCATTATTCTGGATAATCCCACGTTGTACATTATACTCGCCTCCGCTGATACAACCTTAAATACATCTATGTTAAGAAATTTTTGAAAGCTAGAAGCAAGAAAACATATTCTGGCTAAAACGTTGAGAAAAGGATAAGACTAATTACTTGTACCCAAAAACACAATCTTCCATTTGCGTAATGAGTGGAGTTTCACCTATGCCATGTGTATCATGTATAATAAAAACTGAAAAAGGGATAATACTCACATTGCCAATAGATTCGTCGTGAATATTCATCATCAGCTCTGTCTAACTGTGTAATCGATTTGTATTTGAGTTCCATCAGAGGGCTTATATTCCGAACATACATTATCGGAAACGGAAAGGGTGGTTATAACTGTATAGTTAGGCCAAAAAAGAAAAGAAAATATCAAGAAAAGTACAATTATGCTTATAGAGTCCTACAGTAGATAACATGGAAAAATCCATGGGTTTATGAGACATCAACAATGCTCATCAATATTAAAATCCAGAATCAGAAACATGACCGAACATATTTTGGGGTTTAAAACATTTGCGGAAGCAAGTAATTGAGTTTAGCTTGTTGTATAAGATGAATATGAGCGAAATTGCTAGAGGATCTGCCAGGTTTAGAAATCAAAGTGGTTAGATTTTTTTTCTTAAAAACTGATGACAACATAAATACAAAGAAAAAACATATTAACGGATTAGGACTAACTAAAAGATTACCTGTTCACAATTGATATCAACCATTACTTTTTCCTCCATTGAAATTCGACAACAAACTGATTATCCACAAAATAATAAAACTCATCAAAGTAAAAAATAATAGATTAAAGTTACAGGGAGATGCCATGCTCGTGGAGATCAACCGTAGCTTTGTAATATGCTGAAATTCTACAAAAGTATTAGTAAAGCAAATAAAAAGCGCAAAAATTTATCAAATATCATATTATAGCCAAACCTTGATTAGTCTAAAAATATTGGATACCTAACATAAATCATATATTTTTATCAAAATAAGAAACTCGATAAATTAAAGATAAACAATCACATGTCAATAAATTGAAACATCACCCAAATCTTCATGCATCATGGTTGCCTATTTCCACCCATCCAAAACCAACAATCATATGAAAAAAACCAATTAGAATTTCTATAAAACTATAGTAATGTGTAACATAAAAACAAATCAATGTAAAAAGAGTGGGTTAGCTATGATCTGAAAGTATAAAAACAAATACACTTTCAACCCTAACCAAACTTGGTCACAAAGGCAGATGAATTCAAAATTGACGAAGAAACATATGTAACTCTCTGATATTTGATTCGGTCGCGAAACCAAAGCTCTTATACATTTGAGTGATGAGATCAAATTGATTTCCTTCTTTCACTTCATCCTCAACAGCCTTGACAATGGAATGTATAATATGACTTTAATCCATATGTATAAATAATTGAACTCGTGCATCTATATATATATATATATATATATATATATATATAGCTTTGGTTGTTCGTCAAAACTCGGTATAGAACCTTCTCAAGATTGATTCCGATCTAAGAATCTTGGTATCTTCATCTCCAGTCACCATCCTTTCACCTGTTCTTCTTAGTCTTCTTTCTTTCTTTCTTTCTTTTGGGTTTATCTTCTTCTTCTCTTTTCTTCTTCGGTTTGTTCACTATCTTCTTCTTCTTTCTTTCCTCTCCGCCCAATTGATCTCGCGGTGACAACGTGATAAATAAACATAGTGGCTTTGACGGAGGAAAACGAATCACCAACTCGGGTGGTTGCGGAATAGATGAGCAATTAATGATGGATTAGGGTTTGTTTGGGTTTCAATTATTTAAGCTGCACACAATACATAACATATATATACGATGGATTAAAAAGACATAAGTAGGGTTTACGATTAAAGCTATAGTCGGCTACTGTTTATTGGATTACGACCCATACCAAATCACACGTTTAGGCCTCTTAATTTTGTTTTTTTTAATTAATTTTCGGATTTTTTTTTTTTTAAACAGAAGAAAAAATTTAAAAGAATTAATTAGACAATTTCATTAAAAGGGGGCAAAAACGTACTTTCAATTTCTGAGAACGAACGTGAGCACTTTCGACTTCTCCTTTACTATATAAGATAAGAGAAAAAGTGTAGCTTAACACACTAATCCGTATGGGAACGAAACTAAAAAAAATAAGAAAGAATATTGTTGGAAAAAAATTATATTGTTGGTGAACAAAAAGCAAGAAAAAGAATTCAAATCAGTAAAATCAATTTATATCACAATAATTCTTCGTAATATATTAAGATTATATGTATATATATATTTGTTTATTAGAAATGAAGGAAATGACCAAAATATATAAGAAATTCTATTAGAAAAACAGACATTTGGTCGGTTTCCTAAGTCTGCTTGTAGCTCAATTTTCTAGGTCTATTATGAAGTTTATATATAAAAAAGAGCTAAACCCAATTAGGCATGACCAAAAGCTAACTGTAACCGTATTTCGGACCGTAACCGGACCGTTTCTCAACCGTAACCGGACCGTAATCGTATAAAACGGTTAAAAACCGTAACTGTTAACCGTCAAAATAGATTAGTTACGGTTAAAAAATATACTAACCGTAACCGTTAATTAACCGTAAACGTATCAAAACCGTTAGTTAACCGTACGGTTAACCATGCGGTTAACCGCACTATTATCCGCATAGTTAAAATTTTAAAAATATAATTGTAGCTGCGTATAATGCAAAAACAAATATCGAATGTTCAGATAAAGATTTTCAAAAAAAGTAAATGATACCGCACATTAAAAAATCTACATTAGGAAAAATGGTTTTTTTTCTCAAACAAATATTTTCTAATGCTATATTGCTAAAAATGAAGAAAATTTGGTTTATAACATACTTTTTGATCTTATTAAAGTAGTATAAAAAGTTAGTTAACTCGTAAGATTTTACCTCCGATATTAACCGTATCGTAATCAACAAATAACCGTAATCGTATTTAACCGTAACCGTTGTAACCGTAACCGTATTTAACCGTAACCGTTTTAACCGTATATATAGTGGTCAAGGTTATGGTTAAAGAAATTTATAACCGTAACCGGTGGTTAATCGACCGTAACCGTAATAACCGTAACCGTGGTCATACCTAAACCCAATGCTATGGAATTCATCAAAGGTGAAAATAATTATGATACAAAGTCTATTAAATAGTTGAATTAATTGATAGCTTGAAGAAATAATATGGTATTCAAGTTTATCACTCTTAGAACGACTATATGTAATATACTCCCTTCGTTTCACAAAGAGAGTCATTTTAAGGTTTTAATCTTGTTTCACAAAAAGTGTCGTTTTATGTTTTCAATGCAGTTTCTAAGACTAATTCTCTTTTTTTATCCCTACTTTTTCTGCTTATTAATTAGAGAGAGGTATTTTATAGTATATTAATAAGGGGTATAAAAGAAATTTGTTTACTTTTCTTAATTTGTATGAAAAATGGTAGAATGACACTCTTTGTGAAACAGTTAAAACAAATAATTTCGTGATTCTAAAATAAATAGCAGTTAACATATCAACATAAAATTTGATGTGGAAATATTTTGGTCCGATAAAAATATTTTGATGTGGAAATTCATATACTTTACGTAGTATTATAAAATTTGGTTTGGTTTCACGTTAGTAAATTTGTGTGATTGAACCGAATAAACCTTTATCAACATAAATTCATATTTAGATTTCTATAAGAATTTATATATTACTAGTAACAAAACTTGTTTGGTTCACGTTGATGATTTTTTGTAACACAACCAAATAAAACTTCATTAATTAACTTTTTAACATCATGCTTTAAGAATTTTCAATTTAGAAAAATATTGTAAACTAGAATTTTAGAAGAAAAAAAATACTAAATTAAATTGTTTATATTATTTATGTTTTCATATAACTATTTATTTATAAAAATTAGTTTATTAATATTAGGGTTTACTGTAAATGTGAGAATTTAAAATTCCACAAAAAAAAAAGTTATTTTATGTTTTTAGAAAAAATGACGGTTTTTATATCCATTTTTTCTTTTCTCACTTTTCCTTCCGCCACCTCAACATCTTTTATATATTTAACTAAAACGGTATTATACACGAGTATATAAGAAAAAGGTATAATTAACATTATATAGTGTAGTAAATACAAGAATGAACATATATCACAAGTAATATTTTCATATCACAAGTAACATTTTTTACAAAAAAAATTATATTATTATATAGTAATTTCATATGAGTTACTTTTGTATTCTCTCGGATAAAAAACATTATCTTTTGATCTAGTTTTATATCCTCTAGATTAACGTATATAATAATTCGCACATTACATTATCTACACGAGTTTCTCCATTTGAAATTTTGTCAACGTAATATTTACTTTGAGATATGATTAATAATCGGAAAATGAATCATTTTTTTTTCATTGCTAATTAAAGTCAATTATTTAACATTTACAAAAAGATATTGCATATCGTTGGATATTCTTAAAATAAAAATATGGTAAAAACTCCATGAGACACTATTCTTAAAAATAAGAATATATTTCTCATATGAGAAAGGATATCATTTAGATAATGAACAATTAAAGGCTTTAAACAAGTATTTTTTTTTTTTTTTTGAAAAAGTTTTTTTTCGAGGAAAAGGTGTACATAAAGATGGCATAAGTATATTTGAAGTTTACAAATTTGATAGACAAAACTAGACCAACATCAAGTCCTTTGCCAAGTTTTCTTGTTATTGTTCTTTGCACTTTCTCTCATTGGACAATTTCAAAAGCGGCGACTGATATCCGCCGGACAAAACGGTGTACCGAGGCTAGCCCGATGGCTAGGGATGGTGAAATGCCTAAGCCTCCCCTGCTGCTCCTTAATGTACCCTCGACACAAGAACGCCACCGAGAACTCATCCTCCACAGGCCGGTTAATGTCGTGAACGAAAACATCAGTCTCGCCGCCGTCATAACGGTTACGAGCCAATAAACCCGCCGTGTAAATAGCACTCATCCTCCCTGGAGCATCGTCGTTGTAACCAGTGGGAGCATCGACCATTATCACATCCCATTGCGTCTCGTACACGTCAGCCGGAAAATCCTTCAAAGACAGAGCACATTTCGAATCTCTCGGATCAGACACAGCTTTGCAATCCTCTGTTCTCTCTAGCTCAATAAGCTTGTTGGAATCTTTCACTTTCGTGTCGTATTCAACGTGGTATGATTCTAAATTTGGGAATTTCTTAGTCACTGTCTTGATCCAAGCTTTATCTTCCTCGAGGAACACTAGCAATGTAAGAAGTAACTTTATTAAAAAAAAAAAAACAGAGATTTGATTAACCTTTAAAGATCTGTTGTTATGAGAAGCTTACAAGTGCGTCCACCATGATTGAGAGATGCCCACATCAAGCTGTCGTGTCCTAAGCCAAAGACGAGGAAGTTACAAGGAGATTTCTTGTCCAAGACTCTCTTTGAGACTGAAATTTCATCAAACGTTTGTTGTGGTGTTATCTCTGTGGTGACATAGTGAACCAATGCGTCTGATAGAGATATAGGAATTTTGGTGCATTGTAGTGAGGTTAATGGGCATTTAGGTATCTCGTGATATTCGCGTCGTATGGTTGAGGTTGAAGAGGAAGAGAAGCTTGCTCTATTCAAGAAGAGAATGAACAAGACCAAGATTGAGAAACAAATGAATATAAGTTTTGAGCTGATGATTGGTTGGGGTTTGTTCCTCATGTTTTCCTTTCTCTCTCGGGTCTTAGCGTTTTCCATATGTTTTGACAATGGTGAAAATGTGTGTATCTAATGAGAAATATAGTCTTGTGGGTGAATTGATGTATCCTTAAAGAGAGAATGATTGAGAAGTTGAGGATGACATGACGGCGACTAAGGTTGCTGTTGAACCAAAAGTTGGTGGATCTGTTGTGTATTATTATAATGTTAGTACAATGATTGGGAAAGATGTGAAACGTAGTGGGGATGCTTGATATACAATATTTACCACTATTACATACATCAAAAGTTTCAAGTTACATAAAATAAGAAAAGGACCTCTCTGTAACAACAATGCATCCTCATCCTGCATTGTCAATTGTAATAAGTTGAATCTTTTAGAAGACTTACATACATTTCAGATCTAACTTTCTATCTAAAGATCCAGGAACACGCCAGTAATTTTCTGTTAACTTGAGATACCGACCGACTCATTTTTTTTTTTTTTTTTTTGAATACCAGGAGGTTCTGGGCCAAAACCCGTAATCCTCCAAGCCCGAAACCACAACATGTAATATTAGTTTTGTCCCAAGCGTCACTCAAACCGACACTTGGTGACCGACTCATCATATATTGGAAAGTTCGGATTTTGACCATGAACTTCCATGTCAAACAGTTTCTCAGTATTTGTTAAAACATGTGGATCGTCAAAAGCTTGTACCTTGGGAATAATGGTGTATAGGTTTTATGGACTTTGCACAAGAAAAAAAAAAAAAAGGTTCTATGGACTATGCAGATGCTGCTGAAGAATAAGTCTCGAAGAGGTAAGCCAGAATCTTCTGGTAATCACCTAATTGGACACCAGTGTTTGGATCAACCAAGAATGGAACCTGTAAATTGTATTGAGTAAAAACAGTTTCATCCGTTTTTTCCGATAAGTGATTGGTAAGAGTATAGACTCTAGTATAGAGAGAGAGCGGACGAGAAATAGACCTTATTGGATCCTGAAGCCTTTAGAAGCGATTTCATCCGTGTGGACCCTTCTCCAATGTTGTGTAATACATAGGGGAGTTCCAGCTCACACAGTGCTTCACGCACCAACCGTGAATACTGACAGGGAAAAAGAGGAATCATTGGCACCAAAGTTTTCTCCAGAATACGCAAGATGATATGAGCTTAAAAGTGAATTATTTACTCCATGATAACAAAGCATAGACTTAAATTCTTGATGACGAGGTTCACATGATAGCATAGGATTCAAGCTTCTAAATTATGAAGAAATCCTCTTTAACAAGAACCCTAAGTATCTAGGAGATTTATAGTAGAGACCTCTTAAGTCTTAACTTTCCAAAAGCCAGAAGGATCTCAAACAACTAACTGGTCAAAGACCCTTCATTTGTTTTCCATAGTACTCATTTATACAATTCTGGTGCCTATCATATCAACAGGAAAAAATGGCGATAATCTAGTAGTGGAAGGGTGGATCTATCTAATGACCAATCACGAGAAGAGTCTTGGATACAAGAAAGGAAAAAGCATAGTACCGGGTTGTTTTCGTAAGAGAAGAGCTCGAGCATTTTAGGAGGCAGATCTGTTGAAGCCTTGTCCCACAATGACATTCCTCTACCTGCTCGGAGAAGAGTTGGCATCCATCCAGTGAACAAGGTGCTGGACAATTTGAATGAAGTCAGCGATACAATTAAAACTTATTCACGCTAGGAGCTGGAGACTACACAACCCAGATAGTTTGACCAAGTATAGCAGATTCTGAGGATACTCACCTTTCCAGAAGTCCTGTGGAAGGGCCTCTTCCATTTCCATATTGTTTAAATAGGTACAATACAATGTCACCTGAAGAGAAAAGAACCGATGAAAATATATCCAGAGACGACGACAATAAGCTATTAATGATGGAATTTACAACTCACCACTCTCATACATTAAAGTTTCAGTATTCGGGTCGACGAGGAATGGAAACCTGCAGATTTTCATTCACAGAATTTTAACGACCGACCACTAGAAGGAAAACAAAAACTGCTATGGAATGATGAAAACAAAACCAATTGACAGAACAAGAACGTAAAATTACATCTCTTTTCGGCCAGATCGTCTAACCAGTTCTCTGTGTCTTACAGATCCTTTAGGACAAGGATAAACCTGAACACCAACCAAATATCAAGATAAACTTTGGTTTATTGCTTAATGAGCCATCTCTCGGGAACAGATGTTTCGGTTCTTACTTCTACAGAAAGGTCTAGCTCAGTCATGGCTTCCCGCACCCTTCGACAAAAGGGACATGCCTCTGTTATCCAAAAAACCAAGAAACTCTCACAACGTAAAATTGGCTTTCTACTAATGCTCTTTGTTTACATGACACCAACAAGAACATACCAAATTCAAAAAGCTGCAATCGCAAAGGCGGATTAGAAGAGACATCTTGGTTATCTATACTCCCAGTTGATACTCGAGATCCCCATGGAAGTCTTGCAACAGATGCTAATGAAGAAGTTGCAACCTGTATACATACAAACCATAAGGAAAGAACACAAAATACAGAGCTTTTAGTCACGTAATCAAATGCTGGAAATCTCGGAAAAAAAAACAGTACTTTATCTAGTAACAAATTAGTAAAATAGTATTCTAGTAAATTATTAACCGCTCAAAAAAACTCCATCCTCCATCACAACTTTTCTTCTAGTCCTGTGTTTTAAAAGGCGAAAGGCTACCGAAGGCATAAAGACCCCCTGATATCGCCTTTCGCCTCGGTCGCCTTTCAGATGTGAGGCGACTCAAACTTAAAACAACGTCTTAAACAGCGCCTAATATTAATGTGGTCTATAAATCCAAAGAGACTTAATAGAACCAGTAAACTGTAACCTAAACACTTTCCACAACGATCAAACTTTATTCGGCTCATGTCGGATCTAATTCAGTGTTGTTCTCGAGTTACCTAATAGACATATGGCTGCAGAAACCTTGTTTTGTTCATGAACAGAGGTTTTGACTGAAAAGAAAAACAACTCCATATAAGAAAACATGACTAACTAACCTCCAGAGCATGATTCCGTCGTTGAGAAGGATCACCTCCCTGCAAACAACAACTAACAAGTATCAAACGTATCACTCTCGTTGAGTAATAACAAAAACACAACAGCATAAAGTTTCAAGAAACACTTACAGAGAAAACTTTAAGCAATGGACAGAGAAAGGACAAGAAGCTTGATGTATTATTGCTGCTCGATTTCTGTGATGATTCATTCGATTTTGCTTCTGAGTTACTAGATTTCACAGAAAGTCTTCTCCTTTCGCGAACCCAACTACCGTTTCCTGAAATTCTATTTGAGAATCGATGAGGTCGATGAGAATGAAAGGTGGATGACGGAAACGACGCAATCGGATGGCAGAGACTGCTATTAACCACCGAAATTTGCATTGTTTCTATCAAAAACTGTATTCCACAGAAACTCTAATTCGATACTGAAGGAAGGAGAACGATCGATTAACGAGAAATCGTCTGGAATTATTTTTAAATTAAAAATTTTAAGATTCCACAAAACCAATGTTTTATCCGTTCACCCAAAACGAAATCGGATCTAACCCTAAACCCAATCTCTAATTGAAATAATCTAACCCTAATTATTCGAGTTCTCTCAATTCAAAACCGTTTTCTATTTCTTTCATTATTGTTGTGTTCGTGAAACTAGGTAGAACTATTAGATCGTGGGAAATTGTTGTTGTGTTCGATCGACAAAATGGCTATGACAAAGTGTGGACGACAAATAAGAGGAAGAAGAGAGCTCCAAATGAAGAGGTAGCAAATGCTGAATATGGAGAAAGGGATTCGGATCCGAACCCTATTGTTGAGGAAGTGGTAGACGAAGAACGAGAGAGAGATATATCCGGTTTGATCCGAAGAGAGCGAAGAAGAAGGAGATAGAAGCCAAACAATGAGTAGTAGCTGAACTTTGAGCGACTACACTGACGAGAGTGAGAGATCCAACTAGAAACCCGAGGAGAGACCTGAGGAGATGGTAAATAGTTCGGTTCGATTGAATTAGGTAGAACTAGGGATAACTAAATCGTGAACATCGGATTGGTCAATATGAATTTTTGGGTTTTAAGAAATATTGGTATAAATGGATAAAACTAGTGTTCCTTGAGAAATTTCTTAAGAAAATATAACTTGGTAATATTTGGCAAAACTGTTTGTTGTAGGATACCGAAGAGGAAGTGATAGCACTACAACCTTTGAGAATATACTTCTCGCCGACGGAGTATAACAAGAAAATTAAGTTATCGATGAGGTGTTACATCCATGAAATTTTGACAACTTTAGATGAGTTGAATCATCTGATCCCCGATGTTAAGAGGACTTGATTTGAGAACCATCCGCAGTTCAAACACATTTAACAAATGCCAAAAGACAAAAACCACAAGGTTATGGGCATGTGGATGCTCCTTCTTCGAATGACATGCATCGGAAAGAAAATGGAAGCTTGGTTTGTCGTAAATGGTTTTCTCACCCGCTATGGTATAAAGGAACATGCCTTGATATCGAGATTAGACTTCCGCAACTATCTACTTGATTATAAGAAAGCAGGTAGTATGAAATTCGTGAAGAAGCATTTTAAGATGAAGGTAATTAGACATGAAGACATGAAACAAAAGCTATTGGAAATGGTACCAATAGAACATTCTAGAGATATGTTGAAGATGGCGGTCTTTTACTTCTTATCCAACATTGTTGTAGTGCCGACAAAGATTGGAGTAGATGCAACTACCGTGGATGAATTCTTTTAAAGTGCAATAAATGCTAGGATATTGATTTGATCACGTGATAGGATCGATCTCGCACACAATGTATCATTTTGATGGAGCCGTCATAGAAGGTGTAATATGGTCGGTTTCAGGTTTCAGTATTCCTCTGGAAGTAAGTAAAAAGTAAATGAGGTATTGGTCATTGTTACTACCTAATAATTGAAGCTAACTCTAACTATATGTGTGTTTTGTAGCTTTTAGCATTTGAGACAATTCCACAATTGAGAAATAAATTTCTAGAAGATCATCCAGGCCCAAACGTAAATTGTCCTAGGATGTGCAAGAAAAAATTCAAGAAAAGTGAAATGAGAGGGTTTCCTCTTTCAAAAATAAATGATTAATTTAGTACAGCTGAGGTTAGTTATCCTAGTTATCTAAATCAAATCGGATTGAATCCCTAAATTTATAGATAGAAAACCAAATTTTAAGCTCTATGGATGGCTTAGGTTGGTTTAATAATGGACCTGAAATTTGTAGCTCGATGCAGCTCAACGGAGGCAAAGAAACGGCAACAATAAAGAGATCCACGGCAGAGGGTAACTGACCTCAGTTGTATCAAGTTCCGCAGTTGAGCTCTCTATTGTTGCCATTTCTTCGCCTCCTTCGAGCTGCATCAATATACAAATTTCAGGTTCATTCTTAAACCAACCTAAACAATCTAGAGATATTTAAATTTGGTTTTGGATTTACAAATTTGGGGATTTATTTCGATTTAATTTAAAGAAATAGGATAACTAACTTCAGTTGTACCAATTTCATCTCTTTTTTTCGAAAGAGGAAACCCTCTCATTTCGCTTTTCTTGGACTTTTTCTAGCACATCCTAGGACAATTTACGTCTGCACCTAAATTATCTTCAAGGAATTTATTTCTGAATTGTGGAATTGCCTCAAATGCTAAGATCTACAAAACACACATATAGTGAGAGTTAACTTCAATTATTAGAACTAGTAACAATGACCAATACCTCATTTACTTTTTACTTACTTCCAGAGGAATACTAAACCTGGAACCGGCCATATTACATCTTTTGTGACGGCTCCGTCAAAATGATACATCGTGTGCACGATCGATCCTACCATGTGATCAAATGAATATCTACCTCAAAGAAACTTCTTACAAAACTTTAGAACATTCAATGCACTTTGAAAGAATTCATCCACGGTAGTTGCATCTACTCCAGTCTTCGTCGGCGCTACAACAATGCTGGATAAGAAGTAGAAGACTGCCATCTTCAACCTATCTCTAGAATGTTCCATTGGTACCATTTCCAATAGCTTTTGTATCACGTCTTCATGTCTAATTATCTTCATCTTAAAATGCTTCTTCACGAAGTTCATACTTCCCGCTTTTTTATAATCGAGTGGATAATTGCGGCAGTCTAATCCCGATATCAAGGCATATTCTTTTATACCATAGTGGATAGGAATACCATTACGACAAACCAAGCTTCTTTTTTCTTTTTGATGCATGCCGTTCGAAGACGGAGCATCCACATGCCCATAACCTTGTGGTTTTTGTCCCTTGGCATGTGCTAAATGTGTTTGAACCGCGAATGGTTCTCAAATCAAGTCCTCTTAACATCGGTGATTAGATGATTCAACTCATCCAGCATTATCAAATTTCATGGATGTAACACCTCATCGATAACTTAATTTTCTTGTTATACTCCGCCGACAGGAAGTACATTCTCAAAGGTTGTAGTGCTATCACTTCTTCTTTGGTATCTTGCTACAATCAGTTTTGCCAAGTACAGTAAAACCTCTATAAATTAATAATGTTGGGACCAGAAAATTTTATTAATTTAAAGAGATATTAATTTATCGATAAATTAATAATTATTAATTTATAGAGAGATTTTCCTAATTTGGTAATTTCTTTAAAAAATCTATCTAAAAATAAAATTTTTCTTTACAAACAATATCTTTTTAAAACCAATTGCAAGTAGAGAAGCAATTATTAAGTTTAAAAAACAACACAAACTTTTTTCGAATAATAGAATCATATTTCATTAAATTTTTTACATATAATATCTTAAATATATATCATACTAATTCATATATGACATATATAAATTTATATCATATATATATAAAGTTAAATATATATATATATATATATATTTATATTTAAGTTTATATAATTATTAATTTATAATATAGATAGGACCATATGTTTACATGGTATTTTCAAAAAAATTATTATCTTATTAATTTATCGATTTATGTCATATTTTACACTGGTCCCAACTCGGGACTTGAAGAATTTATTAATTTAGAGAGGTTATTAATTTATAGAGTATTAATTTATAGAGGTTTTACTGTATTACCAAGTTATGCTTTCTTCAGAATTTTCTCAAATCACACTAGTTTTACCCATTTATACCAATGTATTACTTAAAACCCAAAAATTCATATTGACCAACTCAAAGTTCACGATTTAGTTATCCCTAGTTCTACCTAATTCAACCGAACCCAACTACTTACCATCTCCTCGGGTCCCTCCTCGGGTTTCTCATTGGATCTCTCATCGGATCTTTGTCGGTGGAATCTCTCAAAGTTGAGCTACTACTCACGGTTTGGCTTATTTCTCCTTCTTCTTCACTCTATTCAGATCAAACCGGAGATAATTCTCTCTCTCTCCCTCTTATTCTACCACTTCCTCAACAATAGGGTTGGGATCCGAATCCCTTTCTCCATCTTCAGCATTTGTCGCCTCTTCATTTGGAGCTATCTTCTTTCTCTTCTTTGTCGTTCACTTTGTTTTAGTCATTCTGTCGATTGAACACAATAACAATTTCTCAGAATCGAGTTGTTCTCCCTAGTTTCACGAACACAATGATATAAAGAGATTATTTCAATTAGGGAGTTGGGTTTCGGGTTAGATTCGATTTTGTTTTAGGTGGGCGGATAAAAGCCAAGTAATCCGGATAAATTGTTGATTTTTGTTGAAGTAACATCGTAATTAATCTCCACATTTAAAAAATAATAATAATAATTCAAAAAGAAATTCGTTTTTTTTTTTGGGAAGAGTTTTGAAATTTACCTCTGAGAATTAGGGGCTTTCAGACGATTCCTTGTTTCAGTCACTTTGGATTTGAGTTTTTACTCAAGTTTTCAATCGATCTGTTGGCTCTTCCCGTTAATTACGCGGTGACCTAGAAACCCATATCTTCCGTCGAGAACAAGAAATCGATTTTCTTGGAAACAGTGGGAAAGTTGGGGGCACTGGAGATTGTGTCCCAGATTGTTTTAGTTTTAGGTCGCCTTCTTTGAGAAGAGTGATGACGAAACAGCCTTAGGATGCTCTTATAAATGGAGCCTTTAGTGTGCGTTTTTCTTGTCATTTATGTGAGCCATGAGAAACTGATTCTTATACGTTAATTTTTAAAGCTATAGTGGAACAGTTTTGATATATGAATTCAATTAAGTCACAAGACTTCAGATTCCATTAATGTTGTGTTCGTTACTGTTAGGCCAAATGATCCTTATTTCGTTGGCTTGTATATAACAATGAGGCCCTTGTGTGAAATCTCTTTGGATTTTTAAGTTAATGACTGGAAAAGCTTCTATCTACATATAAACTTGGACAACTAAATACGATTGCTAAATATGCACATTTGTTTACTTCCCTAAACCACAAAGACAATGTTTGTGAGACAGAGAAAACATTTCCATGTACAAGGACCACACTACATAGTAACAGATCTTACTACCACAATCATAGCTATGGCATTGGCTTGCTTAAATTTCTTAGTATTGTCTATTGCAGCGCAGAATCGAAAAGCAGAGCCGAGGATACCATGTTCGATCTTTGTTCTTCGTTCTTCGTTCTTCCAATTCATGTAATCTTCTTTTTCTTGTTTCGATGTTAGCAAGGTTTCATCCATGTCTTATTCTTCTACTTAGCACATGTTTTGTTATTTTTCCTTGTTGCTGATTTTTCAAGCCGCGATTTCCTTACAGCTTCTTGGATTTGTCTCTCATGGTCTTTAAGAATGTCCTCAATGTTTCCACCGGGAGGCATCAATGGACCCGAACAATGCATTCTGTTCTTCTTGCGTACGTATGTCTGAAACCACATAAGAAAACATCTTAGGATCCATAATCTAAAAGAAAAAAAAACTAGAGCTAATATGTTGAAGCAACCAAGTTCCAAGTGTTTTTTATTACCGTTGTGGTTTCTACGGCTACATCTTCTTTATGTGATGGAGACAAGTATCTCCCAGTCATAGGCACGTTGCTTGATCGAGTAGCCTTTAGCTCAACTACATTGTTCCTAGAGCTCTCATTTTTACTCCATGTTGCAGCTATGCTTGGATGAATCATTGAATTGGTATGAGAAAAGCCTTTCTCTCTGTCGCCTCTTCCCGTCTCTCCTCTCAAACCGGTTCTACTGTCTTCCTGAGGATTGAACCTTTTTGTGGTGATTGTGTCTTTTGAATGCCCTGAAGCAACGAACTCCGGTGTTATAGCAGTACTTTTGAAGTCTCTCGAACCCCGTCTCACAGATTCAGGTCCACGACCCTTCACGGTTTCAGCCTTTTTTCTGAATTCATTTAGAACTTATGTTTAGGAATTCACATGAACCATTTTGGTGCAAGAATACTTATATAAGGATTCTTTCTCTCACATACCTTCTTGCTTCTTCATCACGGACCTTTGCGTCAAGTTCCTTGCTTGGAGGATACTTTGGCAAACTTGATACATCACATGGGAGTGGTTCCATTGTAAAGAACTAGAGAAACAAAAAAAAGAAGAAAGAATTGAGTTTGAATTGAGGAGGCAAATAAAGAACTGTTAGATGAAGAAATACAAAGTTACCTTGCTACTTAGCGTCGAAGAAGCTGTGCCACGCTTCTCTGGTTCTAAGCATAGAAGCTTGTCAACAAGAGCTAGAGCAGAAGATGGTAAGTTCTTGAAAGTCTCTAAAAGGACACGCTTGTAAGGTTGTTGTGGCTTGAAACTTGTGGCAAGTGGTAGCTTTGTCTTTTTCCAGTAATCATCACTTGGTGAACCACACAACTTGAAGATCTTATGCATTTGCTCCACCTAAGAGACATTGTCAAAGATACATTTATTGAATCAATAAATTATGCTTAATGGCTGGATTCATAGAACTGATTGTCTTATGAAGCTGCAGGTAATTCACCTCTGTTCTTCCCGGCATGATTGGTTTCCCTAAAAACAGTTCTGTGAGAATGCAACCAACACTCCACAGATCTATCCCGGGACCATACTCTGTAGCTCCTAGAAGAAGCTCAGGGGCCCTGTACCACAAGGTTACTACACGGCTCGTCAAGGGTTGATCTTGTTCTGGATGATAGAAATTCGCCAGACCAAAATCTCCAATCTTGAGGACTCCATCATTGTTTACCAAGAGATTTGAACCTTTAATGTCGCGGTGGAGGATTCCACGGCTGTGGCAGTGTTCAAGCCCGCTAAGCAGTTGTTTCATGTAACATTTGATCTGCAAGAAGCAACATAAAACAAGATTTGTCTCCGTATTAGTCCATGATTAATTCCTTGTTACCTTTTTTGCTAGCTATAATCAAATCCTTGAACGTACTTGTGATTCAGTAAATTTTACACCAGGTCTAAGAGCGAGGCCCGAAAGGTCGTGCTCCATGTACTCAAACACAAGGTACAAGCTACCAGAGAGTTTTGAAGTCACAAGACACTCAAGCTTCATAACGTTTGGATGGTCAAGTTTCCGCAAGATGTGTATTTCTCTGGCCATGAATCTCACGCTTTCTGGATCCATATTAACGAACCTGACCTTCTTCATGGCTACCATTTTACCAGTCTCAAGGTCCCGGGCTCTGTACACGCTGCTGTAAGTCCCTTGTCCAATCTGTGAAAGGAGACAACACAATAGAAACTTTATAGCAATCAAGAAACATTAAAAATGGAAACAGAGAGAGTTAAAGGCACTAACTTTGTCCAGCTTCTCAAACGACTCTGCACGTCGTGGAACCCAACCTTTGATGGCTTCACCTGCAACAGAAGTTAACCAAGAAGGCCATCCAGCTGCAATGAGCTCAGCCTCGGGGCTATGTGGAACACTTGTTGAAATATTACTAGGTGGAAACATATTGAAACCTCCTCCTCCTGTCCCAATATCTGCAGTTGGCCATCTCCGGTGACACCTTGTAGGTCTCTCAACAATAACTGTTTTACCATCACTATCATCTACAGGAACAATCAATCCGCTGGCTCTAGCGGATGGTTTATGCGCTAATCCATCAGCTTTGCGTCCACCAGAGCTTCCGTCAACGGATTTATGTGAAAACTCATCTTTCTTGGAAGTTACAGGTGCAATCAATTGAACTGAGGATGTTTTGTTCCAATTCTCTTTTGGTTTCTCATGTTGGTCATTAACTTCTTCTTCTGCTGTTCCTTTTGAGCAAATGCAGCCCATAATACTCAGACCGATTCACGATCTTTGTCTCATCAAGAACTAATCTTATCCTGAATGATTCCTAAGCATAAAACTCAGGAATCTCAGGTTTATTAGCTAAAACACAGAGGATTATGATCAAATTATATTGCAACTTTTTTTTTCTCCTCCTCTAAGAAAATTTATGCAATTCTCCTCAAATGTTATGTGCCAGGAATATTTTGATCTTCCCAAATGAATAGGTAGATCTTTTAACACCAAAATCGAATAAGATCGAAATCACAGAAAAGAAGACTTGTGATTCAAGAAACGAAAGAGGTGATGAGAAGAACAAGCAGGGGAAGGAGAGAGCCAATGTGGTCAATGAGGAAAAAAAATACTTTGGAGGCAAAGCAAAGCAAAAGCAAAATTCAGAAAACTAAACACCAAATACAATAAGAGAGATAAAAAATCACAGAAGAGAAGACTTGTGATTCAAGAAACAAGAGAGATTGATGATGATGAAGATCCTCAGTTTTTTTCGTTTTGTGTTTTTTTTTTCCGTTATCTCACTGCAAGATGGGCAAAAACGTTGCAGCAACTATTCGTTCGTCGATAACGGAAAATACGGAGAGAGAAAGATAACGAACAGAATGTAGTTAATTCTGATATGGAAATTTTTTTAGGAATTAGGAGAGATGGGATTTAGTTTTTGTGTCGCCGGAAATTATGGGTAAACCCTAGATTCTCTGGAAGAAGACAACTCACAATATCTCTTTTTCTATTTTTGGATCTGTGTATTTTTTTGTTAGGAAACAGAGTAACGAATTTGCATGAGGTTAAGATTTGATCCAACGGTCGAAAATGAAGTTGTTTGTGTTGTTGCTACGACAATGACACACGTAGGATGTTTCTGTCGGACATCGTGGGTCCCACTTTCTCTATTTTCATCTATCCGCAAGAACATTAATCCCAAAGACTCTTCTACGTTCAAGTCTCCCACAAAGTATCTAAGCATATAAGTATATAACAAGCTAAGCTCTTCATTGTATACGATATTGTCGACTAGATTATTAGAAAATAAATGTATGTTGCATAAGGATAAGAGACTGCATAACGACATCGATATTTTTCCTATGGAATGAAATCTTCACATTAAAACAAAAAAAAAAACGACATGGATATCAACTAGTTATAACTTATATGATTCTTTTTTTCTTTCTTTTAATATTAAGGTTTTAATGTTAAGATAATAATGTAATTGAATTTCTACAAGTTATTTTACTACAAAAAGAATAAAAAACCACGAGATGGAAATTTTCAAAAGAACATCTTGTGAAGTGAGAGACTCTTGCAAAATAGAAAAAGAAAACACATCCAAAATGTAGTATCTCTATCTCTCTAGAAGCTCATGATCTCTTTGTCTCACTAACACGGATCATGAATAATTAATAGCAACTTCTTAAACCTTTGGTTTTACAAATTCATTTCAAAACTGATATATTTTTTTTTGTCAACAACTTTATTAGATTAGCTTATATAAGCTAATTTTGTGGGATATTGTTTACATAGGTAGTTAGATGCGGTTGGATACGAACCTTTCGTGCCAAATTATCCGCTTTTGTATTTGCACGGCGAGAAATCAAAGATAAAGTGAAAAAATCAAACTCCTCCTTATCGCTCCATTTCAAAACTCATATATTCACTGATTTTATTCATTTAAGAGTGTAGACAACTACAACTCGATAAATAATTATTGGGAATTACGTGGTCAAGTGCTAATTAAATAATGCGTTGAATATTATCTATTTTTAAGATTTCTATGTTATAATAAATTGTATTATATACTATTAAATTTTTTATTATACCTCTTATTAATACACTAAAAAAATTATCTCTCTTATTAATACATTAAAGAAATAAAGCTAAAATTGGATTTTTATTCAAAATTTTGCATTGAAAATACAAAACGATACTCCTTATGAAACAAAAATAAAACTTTAAAACGACACTCTTTGTGAAACGGATGGAGTACTAAATTTGTTTAAATATAATGAGGTCCTAAATTTTTTTGTTTTTTTTTTGTTAAAGGAGGTCCTAAATATTTTAGCTCATGCCTTATTTTGTGTCACATTAAGCACGGCCTTGGGCAAGTCGCTCGTTTGCAACATCCAACTAAAATTTCAAGAGGATTATAACCTATGATCTATCTGATCAATTAAGTTCCTTGTTAAATGAAAGATTAACAGTGGAGATCGAGAAAGAGATTACTAGTAGAATGGAAGAAAGACAAGAAGCTCGTATATATATCAAATATTTTAGTGAACCGAAAGCAAACCACTAATCACTTTGGTTTCGGATGTTCGTTTCTTGGTCTTACTTATAACCACCCACTAAAAGTGAGGTTCAAATGGAGCTTCGCACGTATACATACCAAAAAATCAATATCCGAGCAAGACCACGGAATATATTATTAAAACGTTACCACGGAATATAGTATTAAAACGTTACAACTAGATACATGAGAAATCAGGAAAATGTATTAAATAGTTTTAGTGGGTTTGACTTATAAGACCAAGAAACCAATATCCGAATCTTTATGTCAAATGTTATGGAGCTGTGTACGTAGCATGAACTTATTGAACCAGATGCAAAACAGTCTCACTTAAATGAATATTTACATTTTAGCAAAAAGAAAAACAGGCAAACCGGATTAAACCGGAACATGAGCTTCAAAGTTTTATCTTCTTATCTAAAATCGAAAAACAAAACTCAAAGAGGTCAAATTAACAAGCACGTGGCTCTGTACCTCACTCTGCATGCAGCCATGTTGTTCACCATCCATCACTATACGTCAAAATCCGCCCCAACAATATTAATTTTTTCATATTCTCAAAAAACAAAAAATCCATTTTAATTTAGTTGCATCCTATCTTTTTTCATCGTTTCTATAGCCTGATCCTAAACATCTTGTTATTTTCGAAAGAAGAGAAATGGTGGACCTATTGAACTCGGTGATGAACCTGGTGGCGCCTCCTGCCACGATGGTGGTGATGGCCTTCGCATGGCCATTACTGTCTTTCATTAGCTTCTCCGAACGGGTTTACAACTCCTATTTCGCTACCGAAAACATGGAAGATAAAGTTGTCGTAATCACCGGAGCTTCCTCAGCCATTGGAGAGGTACTAAATTTAAGAATGATAAAAAAATAATTTGCTCTCTTGCACAAATTAAATTGGTATTGCAATTTCAAAATATATGGTTTTAATTTTCTCTTTAAAAAATTAATAACTCACTTGGTTAGCAAATATGTTTTGGAGAGAGTTTGAATAACATATGTTGTCAAGTTGGTCCTAGATTGAAAGAGATTATTTTCTTTAATGCATGACCTTAATTCCTTGTTAACAAAAAAATCGATTATTTCAATGTAAAACTTTAATATAAACCGATTTTTTTTTAAAAATATTTTTTAAAAAGCTTCTTATAAATTATCAAACCTAAATATTATTGACTTGAAACAAGATCTGATTTATTTAAGTTAATGTAATTTCCATTGCAATGAATGAAGGAAAAAAAAAATATTGTGAGTTTCTTTTTTTTGCATGGATGCTAATGATCTAGTTAATGAGATGAAAATTGAAATGCAGCAAATAGCATATGAATATGCAAAGAGAGGAGCAAATTTGGTGTTGGTGGCGAGGAGAGAGCAGAGACTGAGAGTTGTGAGCAATAAGGCCAAAGAGATTGGAGCCAACCACGTCATCATCATCGCTGCTGATGTCATCAAAGAAGATGATTGCTGCCGTTTCATCACCCAAGCCGTCAACTACTACGGCCGCGGTACACTACTCTCGCCATTTCCTCGTGAAATGCTAGGGATAGGTTAACTTGTAGGTCAAGCAATAGTTTTGGTTTTAACGAAAAGGTTGTTTGTGCTTGATGATGAATTCGACACAGTGGATCACCTAGTGAATACAGCGAGTCTTGGACACACTTTTTACTTTGAGGAAGTGAGTGACACGACTGTGTTTCCGCATTTGCTGGTATGTGTATCTTCGGGTTTGTATTGTTGTGCATTGATCATTTTAATAGATAAGATACTAAAAATTTGAGATTCTTGAGCAGGACATAAACTTCTGGGGGAATGTTTATCCGACATACGTAGCATTGCCATATCTTCATCAGACGAATGGCCGGATAGTCGTGAATGCATCGGTTGAGAACTGGTTGCCTCTACCACGGATGAGTCTTTATTCTGTTAGTACTTTTACTATAAACGTTTGCCCGTTTTTTTCATGTCGTAAGATATTACATAATGTTAATTATGATTGCGTAGGCTGCAAAAGCAGCATTAGTCAACTTCTATGAGACGCTAAGATTCGAGCTAAATGGAGACGTGGGAATAACTATCGCAACTCATGGATGGATCGGGAGTGAGATGAGTAGAGGAAAGTTCATGCTAGAAGAAGGTGCTGAGATGCAATGGAAGGAAGAAAGAGAAGTAAAACTTATTTAACCATACCTGTGATTGAATGAACTTATAAGTCCAAAAGACTAACTTGCATGATCTGCAGGTACCTGCAAACGGTGGGCCGCTAGAGGAATTTGCAAAGATGATTGTGGCGGGAGCTTGTAGGGGAGACGCGTATGTGAAGTTCCCAAACTGGTACGATGTGTTTCTCCTCTATAGAGTCTTCACGCCGAATGTGCTTAGATGGACATTCAAGTTGTTACTGTCTACTGAGGGTACACGTAGAAGCTCCCTTGTTGGTGTCGGGTCGGGTATGCCTGTTGATGAATCCTCTTCACAAATGAAACTTATGCTTGAAGGAGGCCCACCTCGGTTTCCCGCAAGCCCACCTAGGTATACTGCAAGCCCACCTCATTATACCGCAAGCCCACCACGGTATCCTGCGAGCCCACCTCGGTTTGCACAGTTTAATATCCAAGAGTTGTAATAAAAGCCGGATGGAGTGTCGAGTGTAGAGTGAACTTGAGCTTTAGAACTTTCTCCGACTAAGTGAACGACAAAAAGAAAAGCAATGTAAAGGACATCGAGTAAAGAATAATGCCGGATGATACAGCCATATGATGTTACTTCTTAATTACTTATGTCACACAAAACATTACACGGACACAATGTTGATGTATATGATATTGTATCTGTCAAATGTGATTTAGACGTAACTTCACAAGTATTAAACAAAAAAAGGCAGAGCCTCGATCGTTCAGCACCTCTAGGCTCTGAGAACCTGGAAAGAAGATGACAAGATCCTGAAGAGACCATCCGGGTTATCTGTGTGAACCTGAACGGACACAACAGGAATACTGGTTTACGGGTTCAGTAATAGAATAACAAAGAGGAAACAAAGACGAAGCAATGTAGAAGCAGAGGCATAGTTAGTTTAATTTACCCAATGACCGGCATCTTCCAGGACATGCATTTCTACGCCACCGCCTTCTTCAGAGGCTAGCTCTTCAGCAGCATGGATTCGCTGAAGGTCTTTAAGGGCCCAACGGTGCAAGCTTCTTTCCGCTTTCAGAAAATTCACATGTACCTCTTGGAAGATTCTCAACAAAGTTCCTTTTATTTTGTAGAAGTAATATTGCGAAGAAGTTTAAGTATAATTAGGTATATCTCATACAAGTTTGTTCCACTAAACACAAAAAGGTTAGAAGAAATAGATTACCATAGATTTGTGTCTTCGTAGGACTGGTAAAGTTCAGCGATCCCGTCTAGGTCAAATGTCCACGAGAAGCTAGAAGCCGATGGTCCAGTAGGTTTGAGATTGGTAATGACCCACTGCACAAGAATTATGCTCACATACATAAAGATTGTTGCAACTCGACAAGTATCAGCAGAATCAACCAACAGTTTTAAAGTTAGTTAAAATCTGATAGAAACTGCTGAGAAAATGGATATTATAATACCTGTGCGACATCATTGGAAAACCCTTCATTTATAAGAGCTTTAAGAACCTCGCGCTTTGACAGGACCTTTTAAACCAAACAGAAAAGATGTTCATAAGCTTAAATTGTCTAGATTCTTTTGTTCTTCTGACTTCTACGATCCTGTAGGTGGTTCAAACTGCCTATTGCAAATAATCAAATACGGGTATCAACAGTTTTGCAAATGCTTGTAGTGTCCAGCAAAATTCTTGTATTATTTGAACAAGCTTGTTCAATTAGCTTTTTAATATTTTTAAAATCTATCAACCAGAACCAGAATTCTAAATAATCATGAACAATCGTCTGCAGTTCTTCAACTCTCCTGAGATAGTCAAGTATCAACTTATGAATGAAACCTATAAACGGCACTATTTTGTGATCTTGTATGAAAAACAATTCAGATGTCTAAAGTTTCGATGATAGAAGCCAAAAGATTGATAGATAATTCTTGTAGCTTACCACTTTTGGCAATTTACGTAGAAATGATATAAGCTCTCGTGGATGATCTTCTCCATCTCCTCCTGCACGAACTTTTCCAGGAGTAGCATCCAATACCCAAGCCTAAAATGGATACAATTTAGGACGATTAACATAAATTCTGCCAACATTGCGATGTAGACATCGGAAAAACACTTACGCGAACTGGTCGTGGAAGAGGCTTAGCTGCTTGCTCCACCATGCTTAATACAACTACACAGATCATAGAAAAGACTTATCAGCAATGTTATCACATCTGAGCAAATAATCTCGATGACTCAATTTCATAAAGGCTTTAAGTCACCTTTCCCCCCAAAGCTATGACCAACAAGGACCCGAGGTGTTAACCTCAACTGACCAACCTAAGAATGACAGAATAGAGAAAGACGAATGTCAGAGAAGTTCTCTTTCATGAATAATCAAATAAAAAGTGGCCCCGAGAAAGAAACTTACAAGTTTTAGAACATCAGAAGCAGTTGTAGCAACAGAGTGTGGAGCTCTCTTCTTGAGAAATGCTGAATCCCCATGGCAACGAAGATCTACCAAGAGAAACTGTGAAGATTGAATCAAGAGAAGCAGATTAGTTATTCGCAAGCCAATAAGTGTGTGTGTGTACAGTTCAGTGCATTTGGTGGTGAAACAGATACCTGCCAAGTTGGGAACTCATGAGCCAATCTTCGGGCAAAAGTGCCTAGAGTAGCAGGAAAAAGGTTTGGTTAGCTAGAAATGTTTGCACACCATACATTTAAACCGTAAAGTTTGAACAAACGAGAAACAAAACTCAAAAGGCTGAGAAGGCATTAACAATCCCTTTAGGACAATTCAGCGAATAAACAAGATTGATTATCTTTTTGCTTTCCACTAACAAGCACACATGAAGAGATTCAGGAATGATTTTACTGGTTTCATAATTCCTTATATAAGATTGAAGAAATTAAGGACAGCCAAACTTGAAACAATTTCACAAGGAATCCCGCAAGACTAACCCCAGTTTTTCCCGCTTCCTAGAATTCCGTGTAAGAGAACAGCGGTAGGTGTATCTGGAACAGATTTGTCATCCTTCCATCTCCATTTCACCTGCGTGTGTATGATAATTTCAGTCCACAATCAATCTGAAACACAGAGGATCTCTCAAACTTATGTTCGCTTCTCTTGGCTCAGAGTCCGGCTTCATCAAGTTCAATACTTTTTTCTTGCAAAACAACCTTTAAACACTAAGATCATATGAGATTGGCTCTCAGATAACTTACAAGTGCTCCTTGAACAAGATCATACGCCTGCAAACAATGAACACAAGCTAATCAATCATCAGAGTCCAGATATTGACATGAATCAAAACAACACTAAACAACTAAACCTCGAAAAATTCGATTTTAACAAATCCAAAATGATTTAAAGTATCAATCTTTTTTGTAGTAGAACAAGATAAACTAATCAAAGTCATATATACCAGAATCCGAGGAGGTTCAGCAACATCATTACTCGTTGATCGTCTCTCATCAACTAATGCCATACGTATAGATGTTCCTCTGACTTTCGGAGTTCCATGTAACAATTCCAAACGATGAATAGAGAATCTGTCACTCTTTAAGTAGACAAAAAACAATCCAAGTTTGGAGTTAAAGTTTGAGACTTTAAAACCTTCATGCCAGAGAGATTGATACAGAGAGAAGGAGAAACTAACAAACCTGAGAATTAGGCCCGATTCTGATGAGATTAGGAGAATGGGTTTTTGCTGATGAAGCAAATGTCTTTGATTGAAACCTAATTCCACATCCGCCGCTAGAGCTCGCCGTGGAGCAAGATACCGCCGACATTACGAATTGATTCGAATTTCAAGCAGAAACAGATCGAGGACGCAGAGAGAAGACGGAGGAGGATGAGAAGTTAAAGAGGCGGAGAAATCGAAGGTAATGTGCTTCTATCTTCTCCTCCTCTGTTTTTTTTTCCTTCTTGGTATCTCCGTCGCTTTTTTTCCTCCGCCGTATGTTTTTGTTTCTGGTGAATCTGAGGTTGGAGACAGAGATAAAATGACAGATTTACCCCTTTTGTCGGCTTTGCACAGACGTTGATCGACCACTTTGGCGTGGTCGGTCCAGGCTCTCACCTAACTAAACACCTCACATGTCTCTTTTCTTGTATCTTAACTCAAATAACGTTGTAAAACATTATATTTCACCTAACATCTTTATATGATTTTTAAATGACCAATCAAAATAAATATATAAGATTTGATATCTAACTTACCTTATTAATTTGTTATTAATCATTATATTTCACCTCTCATCTTTATATGATTTTATTATTATGAAACAAATAAATCATCATATCATCCATATAATAATAAAAAATAGATTTTTTTCCGCATATGCCATAATTTGAATTTTTAAAAACGAATATAAATTATTCAATTTATGAAAAAAAAATTTAACGAGTCAAAAATTTAGACTTGAATAATATATTTCTTTTAAACAAAAATAAATTCAACAAAAATTCTGCCTAAATAACGGGTCAGAATTTGAGTAATTATATTCAATTTCATATATTTTTTAAAAATATATAAGTTTATATACTACGATAAAATTTTAAATATTTTAATTTGGAATATTTAAAAATAGTTTTACTTGATATTTAAAAACAAATATCATCAATAGTTAATAAATAAAAAAATTAAAAATTATACATACACTAATTTGGTTTTCATAAAACATATATATTTAAAAAATATTTATAATAGACGGTGGGTTAAATATAATGTATTATATGATGAAATGAGTTATGATCCTTATAACTATTTGAATATTTATATTTAAGTTCATACAATTATTTTTAAAAAATTCTTAATTTTATATTCTACAATAAAAAATAAAAAATATTTTAATTTGGAAAATTTTAAAAATATTTTAATATAATATTTTAAAGAATATCATAAATATTTAATAAATCAAAAGATAAAAGTTATAAATACTCTAATTTCATTTTTCAAAGCATAAATATTTAAAATATTTATAGCAAGTACCATGTTAAATGTAATGTATTATATGATAAAAAGAGTTATGATCTTTATAACCGAAACCATGTTAAGATTATATGATGAGATGAGTTAAATAAGGTTTGACACCTCTAAATATTTAAAATTTTCTATAAGTATATATGAAAATAATAATGATGGATTGTGCACACAATTTTTTTATTGGGATTCTAAAATAAAAATATAGGTATGCAGGGGTTGAATTTAATCTTATTATATACCAAAATATGTTTATTATATACGCAATTTTTTTTCACTTACTACTAGCATATATCAAATACATACGTTTTATTTTTTACCAAAAAAAGTAAAAAACCGTAAAAATTGAATTGTAACTAAACCGAATTACATACGGTTTCTATATGGTTTCACTTTCTACAAAACGAATAAAACGATACTAAACCGAAACACGGTACCCCACCCCTAATATTTTCTCATCAAAAAAAATAAAATAAAAAATCCTTATATGTCATTGTATTATGTAAAGAATTATTAAAATTGTACTATAAAACAAACAATAATCCAACTTTATATAAATATTTAAAAATTAAAATTTCATCCGTGTTGTTCCAGCACGGGTTATGATCTAGTTAGACAGAGTAAATTAATAGATAGATAGACAGTAAAATCAATAGAAATTTGATTTGGTTCAAATTATTAAAAAAAATTTCTAATCGAAAAAAAGAACCAAATCTTGAGAGAAGTTAGAACATCTCTAAACAGTATTTTTAGTTTTACATATGAAATTTCTTGCACTCCAACGATAACTTCAAAACTTAAAATTTGAGTGCTACAAAATAATACTCTCTCTGTTGTAAATTAGTTGTCGTTTTAAAAGTTAAATTTTGTTTTAAACTTGTTGTCGTTTTCTGTTTTCAATGTAAATGTTTGACAAAATTTTCAATTTTGTCCCTATTCTTTAAGATTATTTATGAACGATATCAAATCAAATGATTTCTTAATTAGGGGTAAAACAAAAAATAGAATGTTTTCTTAATACGCGTGAAAAAATCTTAAACTACAACTAATTTAAAACGGAGGGAGTATATATTTTTTGCATTTCAGTGCCAATAATTATATATCACACAAATAATTTTACTAATCTTGTTGTTTATCATTTTTGCACATATAATTTTAGACTCATAAGTATTTCACATAGATCCTTATTAATTTAATTTTACACTAAAATTAGATAAACACCAATAAAATAGTATTAAAAATACTAATATAAAAGAAATATTAGATGTTCAAATTTTTTACACAATAATAATATTACATTAAGCAAATTTAATACAAAATAAAGTAATACTAGAAAATAATACTATAACAATATAAATAGTCAAGTAAATTTAATCTGCAACCTCCCAAAGTCACCAAAATATTATTCACATAAATTTGATGTAATTGAAGGCAATGCTGTTGTTTTTTTTTGTTTGTTGTAATTCTAACTAGTTCAATCCAAATAAACTCATTACTATTAATGAGAATGTTCAAATTTGTCAACATACCTTTTATTTTTCTCTGTCATTGAAATTTTATTTTATTTTGCTAGATTTTGCAGAAATAATTGAGATATCCCATAGTCTTTTCCCCTAGTTGCTGCACTTTTTTATTAATAAATCAAGAATATCTTCTTCTAATGAAAACAAAATGTTAACATGTAAATTATTACATCCGGACGATGTGTGATGATTTTGATCCGCCTTCATCACTACTTAAATCGATTGAAAATGAAAACATTTATAGAGATTATAATATCTGAAAGCACATATGATGCACGAGTTTATTGAGTGTCTTGATATTCTATTTGTAATTGTGATTTAATTTGTGTGTGTTAAAGGATTTGGAACCTTTAAATCTCCTTGCAAAAATGCTTAATCTTCTACAACGGGTACACATTGTTGGATATCTTTGAAGTATGTTAATCCTATAATTTGTATTTTTTTTTTATTTGTTATGTAAGAAACTCTCTGTTTAATGATCTCATTGATATTAACTCCACTAAAATATGCAGGTGGGGATAGCATCTCCATTACAAGTGACATCATTTTAAGGATCAACTTATTAACTCGAACTCGAAGCAATGCTTCTAGTTGATGCGGTGATTAATTCAAGAAAAAGTGGCGGTCATGTTTTGATCGGGAATGAAGTAATTGGTGTAGCTTTCTAGAGGCTTGTCGGTGGAGACAATAACATGTCAAGTTCTATAACTTTTTGAGTAATCTTTTCTTGTAATTTCGTAAATGATCAATTAGAGAAGATGACTACTGCGACCAAGAAATTTTCTAGATATGAAAATCATTTTCTTTGGCAATTAAATTGTAAATGTGAAATTTCAGAAAATATGCAACAATATTTTATGCTGATTTTGTGCATAAGTAAGTAGTTAAGGAAATTTAAGATATCACCTCAATAATGGATCATAATTAATTAATTAGTTTGTTTTACAGATACGTGATTCCAGCTCGAATTGTTGAGCTATTCTTAGCAAGTGTTGATAAAGGAGACGAGGCATGGTTTTGTTCACTGGCGATTTCTCTGCAATCTATAGAGAATCGACGATGCAGAAGTATTTTAACCTTTAGAAGATTATGAATGGTGTTCTTGTGACAGAGTTCAATGTGCGTTCACAAAGTAACGAGTCTTTGGAGAAGAATAATGTGATTCTCGAAAATAATGGTATCTCGTAGAAGATGATGGCAAATATATAATTTTATCTAATGTTTTGAATGATTTGAGCTTGAATTTTAGAAAGTTTATGAGTTTATTTGTTTTGCAGTAGTTTTCTATGAAAACAAGTTTTGGATACATTGTAATGGTTTCATAGCTTTAAAGAAACCCAATGAAGGAATCTCTCTCAAAGTTTTGAGAAAGGGAGAGGTCAACAACATCGACCTGGAAGTGATGTTAGTGACTTTATTATCCATAAATCATGTATAGTTTTTTTGGTGGTTGGTTTCAAAATTCTCATTGTCTTTGGTTTTGCTTTTGTTAAATTGATACTTGGTATACAACCGATTATCTTTCTCCAAGCTATTATATTTTCACATGATTCGTTTTCACAGAATCTATGACGGGTGTGAAGATCTCAGGTAGTTTTTCTCTTTTTATCAAGTTTTTTTCTCTTTCTTAATTTTGTGTTTCCTTACGCATGAGACTTATGGTAGTTCTGTTTATGTAGGTGTTGGAAGATAATATTAACAAGGGATATACTTTATTCAGAGATTTGGAGGTATATGCGATACTATTTTTCATCTTTTGAAAAGAATTTGGACAAAAAAATAAAAGTATCATGTATTTTTTGTTGGAAATATGTACATTGTGTAAACGGAGAGACCGTGGACACTCTCGAGAAATTGTATGAGCTTATAGTAGCCACTACCAAATATGTGAGGATATAGTTGGAAGGTAATCTAGTTGCTATGGTCGATCTAGACACTCAAAAAGACCAGCTCTTGGAATGTCACAAGGTGATGTTTGATATATCTGAAGACATTGATAAAGCCTTTCCTTGCCTTAGGAGAATAATTATCGGACTAATTCTCTCGCGACTCATCTCAGACTCTCACTTTTTTTTTTTTTTTGTCTCATGACTCATCTCCTAGACTCCTTCTTTTACTTTATTGTTTTTCTTTGTTTTATGACTCATCTCCTTGAGTCCTTCTCTTATTTTATAGTAGAAGTAGATGTATCATACATCATTTGTATTAGTTTGGTTGCCCAAAGGCAATTTATAGAGCATACCAAACAAATTTAATGTAATCGAAGGTTGTTTTTGGAGAGCACATATGATGCACAAGTTTATTGAGTGTTTTGGTATTCTTTTGTAAATTGTGACTTAATTTGTGTGTTTATGATTATTATTTATATGTAATTTTATATTGTATTGTCGTGTTCTACTAATTAACATTGCTTGTAATATTTATTTAATGTATGTTTTATAGCTATATATAAGGTTTTATGATCTTAACTAGTTATGAAAAATATGAAAACTATAATGCAAAATACAAATTGTTATGAAGTTGAATTTAAAGTTTTGGGGCCGATTGGTAGCGACTGTTAGTTTTGTCCGTAGGAATTTTGACTG